AAAAGAAAACAGAAAACCCTTAGCCAAACTTAACTAAAGAAAAGCCTCAAATCAATGCAACTAGAAATTAACAAAGCAAAATCACAATAGACACCACTGAAATCCAGATCATTAATAACTACTATGAAAATTTATGTTCAACAAGATCCGAGAATTTAGATGATGATTCCTAGACACAAATGAATCATAAGAAGACACAAAAACCCTAAATATGCTGACAGGCCATCAAATTGAGCCCATCAAAAAAATCACTCAGCAACTAAGAAAATCTCACCACTGAATTCAATAAGAACTTCAAGGAATATGTACCACTACTATTCCTCAAATTCTTTTTTCTTCCCCCCCCTCAGGTAGCAAAACCAGGCTTTATTTTGGAAAAAACAATTGAATTGGGTTTTGGTGAAGGGCACAGGCAAGAAAGGGTACCCCAGGGAGTAATGTCCCCCAAAGGGTGGGTTGAGGGCTAAGCTGAGCCTCGGGTGGGTCTCTTGCTCCCAATGCTCCCTTGTACAGCTGTCTCCCCACGGGCTCTGGTGCAGCCTCGTGAGAGGTGCGGGCTGGAGAGGCTGCTGGAAATGGACCATTCACTTGGGCAGGACATCAGTGGTCTCAGACACCAGCTTCCAATCGCGGGTCTCAATCTTCTTCACAACCACAGCAGACTTGGTGCAGGTAAAGCCAGGGCTTGTGAGGCCCCCCATAGGGTGAGCTCTCCATTCCTGAATAGCTACTGTTGGTCTTCATGTGGATGCTCAAGCTCTGCATCCTAGCCTCCAGCCTGTTCTTGCCCTCCAGCAGCTTGTGGTAGGTAGCAATCACAATGTCCAGGGCCAGCTTGACATTCATGAGCTCCTGGTACTCGCACAGCTGCTGGGCCATGTCCTGCTTGGCCTTCCGCAGGGCAGCCTCCAGCTGGGCCAGCATGGCGTTGGCATCCTTAATGGCCATCTCCCCACACTGCTCGGCATGAGCAATGACAGCCTCCATGGATGCTCTCTGGCCCTTGAGGGCCTCAATCTCTGCCTGCAGGTGGCTGATGCTGCAGTTCATCTCAGATATCTCAGATTTCGTGGATGGAGGTCATCTCCGTGCTTCCCAGCCAGTCTGCAACTCTTCATACTTGATCTGGTATATGCTCTTGGCCTCAGCCCAGCTGCGGTTAGAGATCTCCTCATACTGGGCCTTGCCCTGGGCGATGATGCCCTCCAGGTCCAGGGAGCGGCTGTTGTCCATGGACAGCACCACAGATGTGTCCGAGATCTGAGATTGCAGCTCACATATCTCCTCTTCATACAGCTGCCTGAGGAAGTTGATCTCGTCAGTCAGCTCTTCCAGGCATGACTCGAGCTCCACCTTGTTCATGTAAGCTTCATTCACATTCTTCTTGATGACGACAAATTCATTCTCTATCTCTGTACACTTGTTGATCTCATCTTCATATTTATTCTTGAAGCCCTCCATCAGCCCCTGCACGTTCCCAAGCTCTGCCTCCAGCTTCAATTTCTCCTGACCCAGTGAGTCCAGCTGCCGCTTGAGGTTGTTGATGTAGTTTTTGAGCATGTTGTCCGTGTTACTCCGGGATGTCTTCTGCTGCTGCCAGAGGTTTCACTTGGTCTCCAGCATCTTATTCTGCTGCTCCAGAAACCGAAGCTTATCAATGAAGGAGGCAAACTTGTTGTTGAGGTTCTTGATCTGCTTTTTCTCCTGTATACACAAGGCCTGGATGTTGGGGTCCACCTCCAGGTGTAGGGGGTTCAGCAGGCTCTGGTTCACCTGGATGGCTGTGATGCTCCCCACATCACCAGCCCCGCCATACCCACCTAGCTTCAGGCCGCCTCAGAAGCTGCCGCTGCTGTCCATTCAGGAGAAGCTGGAGGAGCTGATGCGGGAAGCAGGCCCACTGGTGTAGGAGAGGCTGCTGAAGGCCCAGTGGCCAGAGGCGGACACCTTGTAGGACTTCTGGGTCATCCTTATGGACATGGTGGAGGCTGGAGTAGAGGCAGGAGAACTGAAGATGGAGACTGGAGAAGGAGCCTGGCAGCTGCTTCTGGACCTCTCAAATTCTTTAATAAAAGGAAGGAATACTTCCCAACTCATTCATGGGAGCTAGAATTACCCCAATTCTAGAACAAGACAAGCATCTAGTTAAAAAGGAAAACTACCAGCTGGGTATGGTGGCACATGCCTGTAATCCCACCACTCCGAAGGCTGAGTAAGGAGGTTCTCTGTGAGTTCGAGGCCAGCATGGACTACATAGTAAGTTCAAGGTCAGCCTCAACTACATAGCAAGATCTTCTCTCAGAAAAAGAGAAAGAGATCTTCAAAACAGAGAGAGAGAGATTTCCTTCAAGAGACAGAGACAGACAGACAGACAGAGAGAGAGAGAGAGAGAGAGAGAGAGAGAGAGAGAGAGAGAGAGCGCGAGCTATATAAGCCATAATTTTTTTTCTTCTTCTTTTGGTCTTTTTGAGAGAGGGTCTTGCTATGCAGTTCAGGGTGACCTTGAGCTCCTTCATAGCCCAAGCTGCTCTCAAACTTGCAAAAATCCTCCTGCCTCAGACTTCTGAGTGTTGAGATTAGAGGCATAGGCCGCTATGCCCAGATCAAGCCATTCTGTTTAATGAACATAAACACAAAATCCTAAACAAGAATACTGCCAAACAAAATGCAAGAAATCAACAAATCATCAAAAAGATCACACATCATGACCATGTAGGCTGCACCCTAGGGAAGCAAAGATGGTTCAATATACACAAATCAATAATCATCTCACATAAACAGTAGCAAAGACAGAAACTACATGATTATTTCAACATACACAAAATCCAATATCCCTTCATGATAAAAACACTGAAGAAAATAAGTACAGAAATAGGCACATCAATCTGACAAAAGCCATTTATAACAAGCCTTCTGCCATCATCATATTAAGTGGGAAAAAGCTGAAATCTTTCCCTCTACAATCAGGAACAAGACAAGGATATCCACTAT